AATTTTTACCGCTGAATTCCGATGAAAAATCACAACAATTTTCCTTCAGGGAAATATCCGGAGGATAATGAAAGGAAACTTTCCTTCCTTTCCTTCCGCAAAGGAAATAAAGTTTCCTTTCACACTTGGCAACACCGTTGACAATTGAGTTGGTCACGGGGCGGCCCGTAGCTTGCTGACAAAGAGGTCGCGTGGTCCGTCGTCCACGCCTTGGAGACTTCAATAAGAAGGGGGCTGTCCCCGGCGGTGGAGGGGGAGGGGGGCGGAGGTTGACAACGACAAAGCACTTGGCGCTGGCAAGTGGTTAGCACGCTGCCAATAGCACCCCCTCCCACCCCCTCTGTATATCCATCCGAGCGTCGTCGCCGTGCGTCGCGACGCCCGACGCGTCGCTTCCAATAACTTCAGCAACCGCAATGTCACCCAAGATATCTTTCGAGGTGCAAGGATCAACGTATTTTTGACGTCTCCACCCCTCCTCCTCCCCCTGTGCTTTTGAAGCCCGTGAGCCGTGAAGTTGCATGTTGAGACCAGGGGCCGAATTTTGTTGGTCCTTCCTCCGTACTTACTTATACTTAGGATGAGTCACGACTGCACTCATGTTCAGCCTAGCGCCTCTGATTGGCCGGTAATGCGGGTTGGACTCATCGATAGATGCTGCGCGTCCATGTGAAGGAGCCGACAAAATTCGGCCTCTGAGACATTATTTTCGAGAATCAAAGTTATATAGTCTGCAAGGTTGGCACAGTCAGCTGGAAATGTCAGAAAATTTTATTAAGTCAGCAAAAACCGGAAAATGTCAGGGAAAAATTGTCAATTTACCTTTATTCGTTTAGAATGGATTTGACGTCTAAAATAACAAATTTTGCCCGGAAACTATTTCAAATCATGTATTTTTGGTCAAATGGCATATCCCCAATTGTCAGGGAGTTTTACTCAAATGTGTCAGTGAAATCAGGGAAGTGTCAAGAAATTCCATTTTCTAAATTTTGTGGCAACCCTGTTGGTGAGGCGAAACTTGAATGCGGGGGTCAACGCTATCCTCCGTCTAATGATGACTGATGAGTAACTTGAAACATTGACTGGTGAATATTGAAGTATGCATCTCGTCAATTAGGTTAGGATTGTTGAACCAATGGACACTAAACAAGGTACAAATTCAAGATGTCTGATGTTTCTCTTCTTTTCTTTTCAAAATGTCACGCAGAACTTGGCTCGCGCAGCGGAATATCGACTCACAACCAAGATTTTAACGTTTTTGTGTAGCACTGGCTACGAAAAAGTTTGAATTTCCAGCTCACAAGAAAAACCATCATCAGGAGAATATGCTCGTTCATTCCCGAAAGCAACTCGTTTTATAGTACAACGAAAATTGTAGTGCGCGGGTCTCTGAAATATCTTGCCTCTGGTGACACAGGGAACGTATCGCCTTGAAAAACCCTTGATGACATTCTGTCAAAAATCTGGGAAAAAAATTCCGGGGTGTCTTTTCTTGCTCTTTCGCATCATGAAATTCTCTGTGCTGTGCTGTCGCAAAACGTTCCTTTGCAAATCGATTTCCTTTTTACAACTTTTCCAGTCGAATTCGCAAAGGTCGCAACGCCTCTCTCTTCCTCTAAACTTCGGATTTACAAGACGACGCGACTCCCGACTAGTTTTTAACAAGTTTGTAGCGTGTTTTGGTTCATCGGACAATTTCATTCGCATCCCCAGACCCCTTTAACATTGTCGTCCAAACAAGGGTATTGCTGTCCAGCCAAGTTGAATATAAAATAAACGTTTTCATGCCAGAAGACCACTCGAACAGCACAGTGACGCTTAAAATATGTTTTTAAAGTATTGCTGAAAACGATAAAATGTTTCGGGGGCGTTGCCTCAAGAAATTTAAAAATATTTTACAGGTACTATCTAATCATTTCACTTTTAAATTTCACTGAAAACATCTGACGTTTTGAGGTCGTTTTTTTAATCACTTTAAAAAAATCTCTGAGGTTTTATAAGAAAATGTGTGAAATATGTATGGGAATAAGTATTGAATGTTTTTCATGTTTTAAACTTGCTATTGAAAATTAATTTTTTATAAATGTTTTGAATCAGATATCTTTACAGTTTGGTTTTTTGCAAATAAGATGGAATTTACCGTTTTCGCCAAATTCTTGTGTTCATTTAAATTAGATCAGTCTTTGATCAGTCTTAAATTAGATCTTTTGAATCTGATATCTTTACAGTTTGGTTTTTTGCGAATAAGATGGAATTTACCGTTTTCGCCAAATTCTTCTGTTCATTTCAATTAAGATCAGTGACGTTTTGAAGAAAATTTCCGGTACTGCTCTCTGCGGCAGCACTGTTCAGCGACACAGGAATGAAAAGTTTCGCGAAAATGTAGAGCTTTTCGTTATTGAGCGCATGCCACCCGAGGGGCTAGGTCTTTTGTAAGCCCAGCTGCGAGGTTGCCGAATTTTTCCATGATGAAATTTGCATACTCAGCATTGAGTTATTTGAGTAAAATTTCGTGATTCTAAGCGCAACCTGGCTCCTATGCCCGGCTGTAAGCTTGTAAACTTCACAAATGGTCCTGACCCAGTGTTTACACAGCCTGCATTCACTCGCGCTGAACACAACACGACCATTGTCCGCATGATATTCGATCGAAGTTTGACCGAATTTTGCGGAAAGGGACCGGCCAACGCTCTCGTTGAAAATCATATTCATAACCTGAAGGGAACATAGACAATCAGTGCAAATTATACTGTAACATACTTTGAACAAAAGAACGTCCAAAGATTCTCTTTGAACTCTCTATCTTTTGGAAAATTGCTTAAAAAGCACAATTAGCGCAACGAGGAAGTTCGAAATTCACTCCTAGATCTTCGTCAGCAATTTACTCATTATTATATAACTTTATATTTCAGAAGTTCTTAGTATCTCGTTCGCGGTTTCAAAAAATCTCCGCTCCCATTTCATAGCTTTGAAGGAGAACAAATCAATATCATTTCTTGAAATGTTCACTGATTTTTCCTCGCGTAGAGAAGAATAATCACGGAACTTTTCCAGAATTGACGTTGAGTTGATATCCGTTTCCAAAATAAAGAATGACAAGGAGTCTGCAACGTAACAAACCGAGAAATGTGGTCTAGTTGTTTAGCCGTCGAACTGAATCAGACTTCATCTTTGCTGTTGTAGTTGTAAACTTTTTGAATCGGGAATATAAGCTCAGAAATCCTCAAATTTTAAAAAAAATTTTGAAAGAAAAAACATTTAAAATCAGGAGTGCATTCCAGACCCTTTCTTCTTTATATATCGTTTAAGCTCTTTACCTTAATTAATACATTCGGATTGCATTTTACAAGAAGGAACCAGAACTGCAATTTCAACCTTTGCAATAAAATCACTGAAATCAATAAAAAATGTGTAACATGGTAATTTTTATCTTAAATTTACAGTTTTTAGCGAGTGAAACAGAAACTGTTAATTGATAATCAGGTTTTGCCTCCAAGACAAAAGAAATTTCACAATCTTAGCAACATTGCAATGCTCCTGGTTCCTTTTCGCAAAATGCAATCCATTTATTTTTTGCCACGGCAAAAGTTCGCAGCAGACGCATTCGCCTGAAGATTGATCCATCAAAGTGACGCGCGCAACAGACCAATATGTTTACATTGCGATTATTTTCGTTCAATAGTTGCCTCTCTCACCTACTACCGACCGCGCGAGCCACTCGAAATGCATTCAAATTGTTTTGTTTCTTCGCCCCATTTCCATCGCGTAATGATCGACCTGTACTGATTGACGTCCCGCGAGAAAAATCCACGTCCTCATGTTCCTCGTCAAATATTCAGTCCCTTTAATATTGGATTAGGAAAACGTGAAAGCCGGGAGCTCGCAGCGTGGAGAAGTTCCGCCAAGACCAGTGCCGTGAGAATTTTCTACAAGTTCGTCATATTTTTAAGGCGGCCGGGCCACAAGTAGTTTACCGTCACTCGTTTCGCAAGGTTACCGATATGTTCTCGATGACTTTTTGTGGTCTTTATAAGTCGAGGATCCAGGTGCATACGATTGATTTCTTTTATGCAAAGTTCTGAACGCTCCTTAATATGATGTACGAAGATTATTTCTCCCCGATTTCGCGCGCTGTTCGCAACTTGTGAAATTTTTACTGCCTACCTGGCCGGTGAAATTCGGTTCATTAAGGGAGGGAAATAGTCCAAGAGTTGATAGAAATTTGCAGTAACTGTTTACTTCTCTCTACTTGCATTTGCTCTCCGAACGAAGGGATCCTGTGACTGGTAAAAAAAAATTGTTTCCAAACGCCTAGATTGTCCGATTGTTCTGAAAAATTCGAGTTGATTAATATTTATAATTTTTATCCTAATTGGCTGGTGAAATTCGGTTCAGAAAGGGATTGAAATTTGCAGTAACTGTTTACTTCTCTCTCCTTGTTTTTTCCCTCCGAACAAAGGGATCCTGTGGCTGGTAAAAGGAATTGTTTCCAAACGCCCAGAATGTCCGACTGTTCTGAAAAATTCGAGTTGATTAATTTTTATAATTTTCATCCTAATTGGCCGGTGAAATTCTGTTCAGAGTTGATTGAAATTTGCAGTAACTGTTTTTTTCTCTCTCCGTGGTTTTTCCCTCCGAACAAAGGGATCCTGTGGCTGGTAAAAGGAATTGTTTCCAAACGCCCAGAATGTCCGACTGTTCTGAAAAATTCGAGTTGATTAATTTTTATACTTTTCATCTTAATTAAGTTTTTGAACGGTTCCTAACCGACTTTTCAAATCGTAAAAAGAATAAAACTGAATTTTCAACGTGTATACTTTAAGCCTAGTGTGTCCACTTAGCAGTCTGAATTTGGTTCTCGTCAGGGAAATCACCCTCTGTAAAAAGGACGTGAGCTGATCGTTGTTGTCTTAAAAGTATTTCTTCGGTTCTGCCTTTTCATCAATCCATGTACCTACTATAGTTCTATAATTTAATCCCGTTTTTATGTGTGTTTTCAGCTGGTCGGTGGCGAGTTTGATATGGAACTTAATTTCGTTATTCAAGATGCCCAAAATATCCGGCATATGTTGGAGCTGCTCGATCACTGTCCTGCCAATCTCCAGGTAAATTTTCACCTACTTTGTCGTTTGTTCTTCAACCAAATAATCGTGTGCGTCGCTTAGCAAATAACTCACAATTCAAAAGTTCGATTGTTGCCAAATTGCCCCTCGGAAAATAATTATTCTTGAAGAACGCTATAATTATTTTCTCTTGAATTTTCAGACACTTAAAAATCAAATTTCGAACAAAATCCTCCGAAAAATCGGAATAAAAATATGTGCCAATTTCCCCGTAAATTCATGATTCGTCAAAAACGGTTAAGCATCGTCTAAAGGCCCATACTGTGTTTTCCTTAGTCCTACACTGCCGTGCTATGGAAAAACGCCGTATGAGCCTTCAGGGAATGCCAAATTTCCATTTATAAAACACGAATTTCCTGGTAAACTTGTGAATATTTTTCTCCCAATTTTTCAGATAATGTTGTTTGCAATTTCACCTTAAGTTCCAGAAAATTTCAAGGAAAAACATTCATAACTTTCTTGACTTAACATGAAAATTCTAGAGTTGCCAAATTTCCTCCAGTAAAATGTTTATTTTTGAAGAAATTTATGAATATTTTTCTTCCAATTTCTCAGATAATGTTGTTTGCAATTTCGCCTAAAGTTCCTGAAAAATTCAAGAAAAAATATTCATAACTGTCCTCAAAAATAAAAATTTTATTGAAGGAAATTTGGCAACCCTCCAACGTTCATACGGCGTTTTTCCTTAGCGCGGCAGTAAAGTACAGCGCGAGTCGAGGCGGACCGAAACGGCATAAATTATTGAAGCGAGGTCTGTCTATTAATTCATAACATCCAAAACTCGCAAAGCCTTTTATCGGTCGTTACGGGGGAACGTGATGAATTTATATAGCAGCGGCACCGGCCCGGTTGTTTTCGCACTCGGAGCCGTTGGCCGAGGGCCATCCCGCTGAAAGGTCAGCCTTTTCGTGGCTCGTTTACCGGAGTGCCCGCCGGCCGCGCCGTTTCCTTTGCCATGAATTCTGCACNGGGGGGGGGGGGGGCAGAGGAGGCTTACTGCCTACCACTCACTCTCGCTTGGGCTTTGTCTCGCTCCCACTGCCTGAAACTGGCCCGGCATACGGTGGACCGAGTCAATTACAGAGGTCGGACATGAAATTTTTGGCAAAAATTGAAAAATTTTGATGTTTATTTCGTCTTATTTTGAAGTTCAAGGGGTGCTACTATAATGCTGCAATCACACGCTGAATGTGGGAGTTGAATGTGGCTTGAATGTGGAAGGCATCGGGCCAGCAACGATTCTCAGCAACCATCGGACCAATTTTGAATTTGTTTGAACTATTCGAGTAGATTTGATACACATCTGGATGAAAATAACTCGAATTTGCTAAATTTCAGCCGTTGGGCGATGACTCTTGACTTCCACGTTCAGCTGTTAAATCCAGCGATTGCGGCATCAGAAAAATTTACGAGATAACCAATGGGGCCACTTTTAGAACCTTAAAGTTTGCATAAACGGAGTTACGAGCGTTTAAAGTTTTCAAATTTTGTCCCACCTCTCCTATTGAGTCGATCCATTGTGCGACATTTCTGAAGGGACAATGTTCGCAAAGGAGGAATCGAGTGCACGGACACATTTGGACTGCATTTTGCAATTCATTGCATTTTGCAAGAGACGGCCATTTCTGACGCATTCCAGGAATAACATATGAAGAGCTTTTCAGAAAAGCGGCATTCATATGTACGTGCCTGTACCTTTTTCCCGAAAATTACAGAAATAGATTCTTGTTATCGTTATGTACGTACAAACCGAGTTTTAGCTTAAATAATCAAATGTTTGAGCCAAGATACCGAGTTTTTTTCGTCTGCTTTGTGGCTGTTCCATGCGATTTCGTGCGATTTATTTTTTGTAATGAATGAGGACAATTCACAGATAATATCAAAAAGATCAAATCATGAACAGAAACTTAAAACATCGTAAGTGAGGCACACATTATTCGACTTTAACCATCGGTATGGTGCTGCGCTGCGTACTCATCAACTTGAGACGGCGCTTGCATGCAACTATTCGTGCTCTGTGGATGTCCGTGTTGCATAACCAAACAGTTGAAGGCGCTTGGTCTTTCACGTGTTCATACTGCGAGCCGCGCCGCCGCGCACCCGCCTTTTTTCAATCCGATAGTGACGGTTTTTTCTCCTACTCCTCTTCCTTTTTCTCTTCTTTTTCTTCTTTTTCTCTTCTTTTTCTTATTTTTCTCTTCTTTTTCTTATTTTTCTCTTCTTTTTCTTCTTTTTCTTCTTTTTCTCTTCTTTTTCTTATTTTTCTCTTCTTTTTCTCTTCTTTTTCTTCTTTTTCTCTTCTTTTTCTTCTTTTTCTCTTCTTTTTCTTCTTTTTCTCTTCTTTTTCTTCTTTTTCTCTTCTTTTTCTTCTTTTTCTTCTTTTTCTCTTCTTTTTCTTCTTTTTCTCTTCTTTTTCTCTTCTTTTTCTCTTCTTTTTCTTCTCTCTCCCTTTTTTCTCTCTTTCAATTTTTACTCGTATTTTTCTTTCCAAAACAATTTTCTCTCTAGACAAATCATGTCGTGGCAGATATTCAGTTACACGGAAATAATTAAATTGCTGATTTACAAATCTTATAGTTTAAAAAAAAGACTGCAATGTTTCAATTTATGTTTTACAATGCAAAAATGCTAATTTAACCATCCCCGTAGTCAAATTAGCTTTCGATTTCGATTTTTTGATTTGCGATTTTTTTAACTGCAATTTTTCGAATGCACATTCGAAAAATTACAGTGACTCTTTTAAACAATTGTATTGTTCAATCATCGATCCATATTATTCCGTGTAGCCATGCAATATTTCGTTAAGGGTATACTCACTAAAATTCTTGGTGCGAGATAGAGATGCAGAGCACAGAATAACGGTTTGACCGGTTAGAATGCAGGAGACATGACTAAAGGATCCAAGAATCAGCGATTTCTGTTGCTGACAGCAAGCTTGGCGCTTCTCAAACTCCCGCGCGTATGACAATAAGTCTCATCTTCGAAATTGGACCAACGTTCAGACGAGATCTGAGGTATCGGGAGTGCTTTGGAATTCGAGTGGAAGATAAGGGGCGAGATACTCGCATGCTGAAGTGGGCCAATTAGCTTGCTCTGGATTTCAGCACAACCTTAAAGGTTTAGGCTGTTATATTTTATACTTTTATCGAGCATCCGATACGATATTGAATCGGTACCGAGAATAAAGTAGACTGCATTTTGCAATGAGGCACCGCTATTCATGGTTTATATTAGAAATAACATTCCGACTCTCAGTTCTAATGAGCACTTAAGTGACATCTCCCAAAGCAAAGTAGCTTTGAAGCTGAGGCCAATCATTTGTTCAACATCATTCTTTTGCATATCGTCATCTAGTTTTTCATTTTATCCATGCACATGGTTGATTTTGATCATGAGCCAGAAAGAGGGGGTCTCATTGCAAATTTTTCCCAAATTACTTGATTTCTGAATCCTGAGTAATAAACCAGTAGCTAAAGCACAAATTTAAGCATTGTGACACATGTTCTCCAAAAAACATTCACGCAAAACACGATTCGCGCAACGAAAATCACTGAAATTAACTCCTAACCAAGATGTCTAATGTTTCTTGGTGTGTGTATTTAAACCTCCCGCTTGTGAAAAAACAAAAGTCTACGTGAGCCAATTTCCGCCTTACGAAGTTACCGTAGCAGTCTCGGCGGTACAAAAAAATGACAACCTCAACTTTGGCTCAGCTGTTGCTCTTTGTTAACACTTACAACAACACAAGGCGAGAAGGAATAATTCCTCGATTGAGAAACCTACCAAAACAATTGTAAGGTGCGATTAAAATCAAGTAGACTAGCGTTTTTCTCGTGAGCCGGGAATGCAAAATGTCCGTAACCAATGTAAAATAAAATCGTTAATATTTTAGTTAGGATTTGATTTCAGTAATTTTTGTTGTACGAATCGTGTTTTACGTGAAAATGTGATTTAAAAAACATGTATCAGAATGCTTAAATGCGTGCTATGTCTACCAGTTAATAACGCACGACATGCTACATGCGTACATGCTAAACTGAAAGACAAATCCTATGAGAATCTTCAATCATTTCCTACACGGATTCTCTAGGATTAAACTGAAGACGAAAAATGATATACTGTAAGGCACAGCGCAACATTTTTCTAGTGTAGGAGGTCATAGCCTTGTGGCTTCGTGACTTAAGTTCTCGCGGGTGTTGATAGGACAGTGCGTCGGAAAAGGCAACACCAGAGTCACCTTCGGGGAAAACGGAGAAAGGAAATTAAATGGCAGAAGTGAGAAAGAGCTTTGAAACAGCAAGAAGGGCATAGTGAGAGGGGTTTTCTTTTCCATAATTGCGTTGATGTTGTCATCACTTTCTCAGCATTAATTTACTCTTCCATTAAGTCCTTTATAATGACTGTAATTACGGTGTTGACATTCATTCGTTGTGTTCCGCGGCCGGCATCATCAGGTTAACTGCAGCTGCCGAAAGTGAATTTCACTGAGCTGCTATGGGCTATGGGTCAAGCGCGCGAGGTACGGAATCGTGCTTTGATGGTCATAAGTTCAGATCAGTGTCTTCTAGGCGGTCCGCAGGAAAAGATACCCCCCTCTGGAAAAAAAAACACATTGGATCTAGAGTCCTGCAGACTCTTGAAAACATTGACAAGAAAAAGGACTCTTGATTCAATCAGATTTAAGCTTAAATCAAAAGTAAATCCGCTCAAATTAAGAGGCTTGGTTCTTGATTTAAGCTTAAATCCGATTGAATCAAGAGTATTTTTTCTTGTCGATGTTTTTAAGAGTCTGGACTCTAGATCCAATGTGTTCTTTTCTCCGAGTGCCGTTCACTAAAACTCAAAATCGAGTTATTTATACCGACGTATCAAAGAGCATTTTGGGACAAAAGATTCAAATCGTGTCGTGGTATTTAAATCTCATGGATCAGGAAAAAATGCGCGATGTACCTCAACATTTGTGATCGCTATCGGAAAAAATC